ACAAAGGAGGTCTCCAAAACAGAGCACTGGTTGTATTTGCAGATTATTGGTGCCTCTTTAACCCCTTTCCTCAGGCTGTACTATGTAGTACTCTCAATACAAAATGGTGGCCATCATGTCTGTCTGACATTCAGAGTGGGAAAAAGGCAATTCACGTTTTGCAAAGATTACCATTAATATTCTAGCCAAGATGAGGAAATGGGTAGCCAAGCCTAACCAGAGCAATACTATCTTTTCAGGAAAAGGGCCCTCTAAAAGGCAAAGAACAAGAAAGCAAGATAAAGGATTTACCCCAGCCCTGGTACACCACAATACCAACATGGAGGACACCTCCCAGGAACCTGACTCCCCTCATTTTGGTTACTAAGAACTTAGTCAAGTTACCCAAATTCTGAATAAAATCCCATTAATGCAAATGTGCAATATTCATGTTCACCCTTCCTAGCATGTGACATAAAGCAACATTGCTACTGTGTGAAACATGACCTATTACTCAAGAATTAAAACCTTAGCTCCAACCAGCCCTGTTAAAACTTCTGCAGGCCTCTTTACACTAAAAAAACGTACTTCCCGCAAGCAGCAAGAATCAGCCTTGCCTACTTCACTGTAAGAAATTGATCTATTTTCAAATATTTCCCTCATATTCCCTGGCCAGTTATTTTCTGAAGCATATATTTCACCTCCATTTTCAAACTTGCTTAAGAAAAACTAAAGTAGGTGTCCATGTTTTAATTTGGGGTGGGGAAGGGTTGGGATAAGAAGCCTTATTTTCAGGGATCTCCCTTGAAAACAGCTTCCCAAAACATAACGATTACAAACAGAATCCCTACAACTCAGAATGTCATTACAAAGAGCATGCTTAAGGGAGAAAGGGATGGGAGGGGGTCTTCCTCCACTTCGGAGAGGGGGGCGGGGGGAGGAGAGTGGGGAGAAGATTCTGAAACAGTAGGAAAGGCAGTTAAACCCCCTTCCCAACGGCCCCAGCCCGTCCAACCGCCGCTTAGGCCAACTCGGACTCAGACCATCCCGAAAGGTGGGCAAAACCCAGAGGTGTAGGAGCGCACCCAGTTCCGGCCACGGGGGAAGGAGTTGGCCGGGCTCTCCTCAGCGAACGTTGGAGCCGTTAGGGATGGTTTCAGCAACACCCACCCCTCACTCACTGCCCCCAGGTCCGAGTCGCTGCAGACAGGGCTGGAAGGGCTGCGGTGGGTGACTGCCTTTCAGCGCCAGGAGGCTGAGGGCCGGGGGAAACGAGCACGAAATCTTCGGAGGTCTCTTCGTCTGACATTCCCCTACAAACACGGCCTCGCCCCGACCCCGTCCCCACCAGCACAGCCCAGGCCTCCCCCGGGAGCCCAGCGGCTGGGCCAGAAGAAGCTGGGTGTGTGCGCGTTCCGGAGCGCGGGCGGGCATCGGGGCCCACCGCCGCCCGTCCCGCCCCCGCCGCCCCAAAAGTGTCCCCCAGACACTAATGCCCCCCACAACACATCCGCTCCGGGGCCAGACCCGCGGCTTCTCCCCGCCCCCAGCCAGCGATGGCCGCCCCCTTCTTGACCCCGGCCCGGGGGACACCTGGAGGCCCAGGGACCAGGCGGTGGAGGGGTGCCCTGGTCTGGAGGGTGGGGCGCCCAGGTGAGGGCCGCTCCGGGCCGACGCCGCCACCACACAAAGGACCAGGGGCTCCCGCCGCCATATTGAAAACTTTCCTCCTCGCACGACAACTCGCAAGTCCCCCACCCCCACCCCCACCCCATCACACACCCCCGCACCCCGGGAGCGGAGGCGAGGACCAGCCTGCCGAGCCTCGCCGGGCCCACAGTCCTCCCCTCCAGCCCGCGCCTCCGCCGAGCTCCGTGAGGGAACTCCCCCGCCACCACCCCCGGCTCCTGCCATCACTCCATCCGGAACCGAACCCGAATCCCCAGCCCCGGCCGCGCTCCCGGCCGCCAGAGCCCCGCGGCGACCCGGCCCTCCAGTGGCACCGCCGAAGCCCCTGGTTCTCCCACGCTCCTCATCTCCGACCCTGGAAAAGCCCCCGTCTTCCTCCCCCAGCCTCAAATGCGACCTTCTAAGCAGCCCCAAACTTGACCAGGCCGGCGGGGCGACCGGCTCCCCCACCCCCCGCGCCTTGGGCCTCCCGGGCCCCGCGCGTCCCTGCTCCCTCCCCCAGCCGCGAGCTGGATCCGGGGTGCTGGCGTGACTCACCGGCGGCGGCCGCACCTTACAGATCCCAGTCTGCTCGGCTATGGGCCGGATCTTGTGGATGAAAGCGAAGGGGTCCGCGAACTCTTCCCAGCTGGGCTCGAAGACCGGGCACTCGGGGGGAGGCAAGAACTCGCCCAGCGGGCCCGGGCCCCCGAGGGGCAGCGCCGGGCGCGGGCCCGGGTGCAGCGCGGTGGCCGGCTCCATCACCGCAGGCAGGGCAGGACCGAGAGCAGGGTGGGCTCTGGGACCGAGACTGCGGGCTCCGCTCGGTCCGAGACCCGTGCAGACGCAGCTCGGGCGACAGCAAGTCCGAGTTGTACGGGCAACGGCAGCACCTTGGGCTTTTTCAGCCTCCGACGACGACGTCTCGCCGCAAGCCCACGCCGTGCGCCTCCGCCGCCACGGCGAGGAAAAAGAGTCCCGCCCCACCCCCCCCCGCCCACCCCCCCCCCCGGGCCCCCCCCCCCCCCCCCCCCTCCGCGCAGGGCCCCCCCCCCCCGCCCCAGAATCGGGCGGGGCCGCGCCTTTCGCGGTGGCTGGAGTTTATCCTTAGGGTTTCAGTTGAGCCAACTTTTATTGACCACTTACTACGTATCAGAGTTCCGGCCCTGAAGAAGTTAAGTCTGGTAGAAAGGCTCAGTCCCATAAGCCAATCATTCAATCATGTCAGTACACAGTGGTGGGTGCAGTAAAACCCAGGAGGGGGTTTTGGAAAGAGTATTAGAAATGGAGAAGAATTTTCCAGTAGAGATAACAGCTTAACATACAAACAGTATGTTCGTGAGAAGGCAATAATAGTAATTATAATGATAATGTAACACTTCTGAGCACTTTCGTATCCTAGGCACTGTTCTGTTGCATGATTAATCACACAACCCTATGAGGTAGGTACCCTTATTTCCAATTTACAAATAAGGAAAGTGAGGCATAGGTAGATTAAGCAATTTGCCAAAGTGCGTATGGCTAATAAGTGATGGAGACTATTTATTGGGAGGTGGAGATGTTGCAGGGAAAACAGTCCTCCACAATCTATGACAAGGTCAGACTTGAGAGGGGCAAAAGAGTCTTGAAATAATCCAGACAAGAAATTATAGGACCTAAATTAAGGCAGTGGTGCTGATGATTATGAGCAAGGGATGGAAAGGTAGGAAATAAAATTAGGACCTAGTGACAGATTGAGGAGGGAAGATGAGGTATTAAGATTCAGGTGTCTGACGTACCTGCCTGAGTAGAAGCTAGCTCGATGGCATTGCTGAGACATTCAACCCAATTATTTACACAAGGCGAGTTATTCAAGGGAAAAAGATACTGTGTTCATTTCTGGACATGTTGTGTTTGAGGTGTCTCTGATACATACAGCATCCTTCAACGGGCTGAAGGGTATAAATTTGAAGGGGCGAGATCAGAATTGGAGATATAAATCTGGGAGCTATTTGCACACGGGTGATAGCCGCTGTTTAATGCTGTGTGTAAAGCACTGTTCTGAGTCCTCACAACCCCCATATTGAGTCGGTACGATATTACCCTCATTTTGCAGAGCAGGCAACGGAGGCAAAGAGAGGTTAACGAACGAACTTCAAGAGATATGAACACTTTTGAGGCGCCTTTTTTTTTGGCGGGGGTCGTGGGTGAGTGGGGGGTGTCCAGCCTCAGAAAAGGAGAGGAAGCTCAAACAGTAGAACATCAACATTGACACGACCTCTTTCATCCAGAAAGCAGCCAAACCTATGCAAGGTCTGTTTGTCAAGATCTTAGTTCTGCTTTCAGATTCACCTAGTAGAAGGAAATCTCATCCTTAAGAAGTCTTCAATTAAAAAGGGGGAAGGGCATGCGGGAGAAAGGAAAACCGCCTCCCCTTCAACAAACTTTTTCCCCAGAGATACCTGGCCCGGAAAGAGTTCACAGTGGTCCTGGGAAAACGTAGTCCTTAGCTCTCTAGGGCTTTGGGACCTGGAGCCTTTCTTGTTCCCCATGATAATGGAGAATCAAGCTCAGGGGACACCTAGCACACTATTAGAATTATCAGTGCAAGATAGATATGCAATGTGGCAAGTTATAATGCAATCTAGGTAGTGGGTATAGAGGATTTTGCTGCAAATTTAACTTTACTGAAGATTTGATAATTCCAAATAAAAAGTTGGGTAGAAGATGGCTCTTTGGTGGGCATTCTGTGCCTCTGCGGGTCTTGATGAAGATTATGTCTTGTGATGTGCTCTCTCGGGAAAGCGTTGACTACTTTCACCCTTAACGTTGGTATCCTACAAGCCAGGTAGGCATAACTTTGAGAAAAATTCTAGACACATATGAGTTATGACTATTATTTAACCGAGGTACACGGAAAGAACAAGCCTAAGAAAATCTTTCCCAATTATCAGCTGCGTCCTACGATTCCCTCTCGCTCCTAACTCTCAAGGTCTCCCACTCCGGCTTCCTCCATTTCCGGTAGTCACCCTAAATGATGAGATTCTATTGCTCCCAGATCAGGCCGAAGCTGTTTGGCTCCCAACGGACCCGGTGTGACGTTAAGGGAGGGGGCGGTTGCCGGCGTCTAGAGGGGGACCTAGGGACCGAGAAGACTCTCCGGGAAGGCAGCCGCTCCCCCGCCCGCAGCAGACGCTCCCCATGCCCTTTATGATGTTTACATGGGCGGAGGGATCCCTCCCAGCTGACAGCCACACCGCGCCGGCCCTTCTTTTTTTAAAGAGCCTAGCCACGGGCGCTGATTGGCCGGCGGTCGGGAGCGTCAGCCCCCGGGGGCGGGGCCAGGGCCGCATTGTCTAGTCTGGGGCAGGCTGGACACCCCAGAGGCCGGACCTAGGCAACCCCATCCTGGAGGTGCCGGGCCGGAGCTCCCAGAGTGCTGGGAGCGAGGCCTGGGCGGGGTCAGGTTCGGGTTCCCAGGGCAAAGCGGGGCTGCAGCCCAGGCGGCCGGAGCGGAACCCAGCCCTGCTCCGAGTGCCACGTCTCCAGGAACCCCCTCCTTACTCTAGGACACTCCGCCCCCGCCCGGGCCTCCGTCCCCCAAACCGCCCCCATATGTGCAGCGCCAGATTCTCTGGACACATCCCTAGGTGTCTCCATCCTCATCCTGTCCATCCAGCTCCCACACCTCACGTCCCCAACCGGCTGCACCCCACTCCCCAGCCTGCGCCCCCAGATCAGCAGCCTCCTCCCCTAGATCCACCCGCCTGGTGATGAGGCGCTCCCGCCTTCCTTCCGGTAGCCGCATTGGGGAGACCACGCTCCCGGATTGCAAACTTGGGGGGACATCCTCCTTTCCCTCCCCCTGGAGCCGTGCAACCGCCCTGGGACTGGTTCGGGGATGAGGGGGGCAGGCCGGGCTCCCCAGCGGCCGGCGCTGCACGTAGCGCACGTGTAGGGCCCGCTCCCCACCCCCTCGCCGCCTCTGACAACTTTCCAGAGCTCCCGGTGTCGTCCGTGCGCCTCCCTTCCGCCCTGGCCTCCGGCGTCTGCCTTGCTCTCGCTGCCTCCCTTCTACACCACCCTTACCCTCCCAGCCCGGTGGATCCCCTCGTCTCCCCCAATCTCCAGGGCACTAGCTTTCCCTCGTCCTCTTCGCAGTTCATCTCAGCTCATCTCGCCAATTCAATGCCATCATCTCTCCTCACCACCTCTCCGTCGTACCCTGGAATGTTTGCTGTCAGATGTTCCCTGTGAAACCCACAAACCCTCGCGATTTGGCCCCCTTGTTTTATTTTGTGTATTCCCACAACGTCTTGTTACTGCCCCCTATTACCACACTTATAACTCAGTATTTGTCTTTTTTTCCGCGGTGTCCCTGCACTGTCCCCATACTTGTTCCTCTCCCGCCAGATTGTAAGCCTGTAGAGGGAAGGAGTAATGTCTGTCTCCTTGGCACCAGGCACGTGGCAGACACTCCACAAATATTTGTAGAAGGGGAGGGTAAATGGCGTTGAGTTTCCGTGGCTCCGATTGGCTGCGGATGAAGCTTTGGGCTGGACAAAGAGAAGAATCTGGTTGACCACATGAAGCAGGAAGGAGGCTCGGAACAGTGTTGAGGGAGCCTCCACAATAGGTGGGAACCATAGGTGAGATAAACGCATCCTCCGCGATTCCCTGCCCTCCTTAATTCCCGGGAACCAGCAACTCCTCGTATGCTATCAACTTCTCCTGAGCTGGTCCCTTATGGGGGACTTCTGCGCTCCCTATTCTGCCCTACGCACAGCTGTTGGGGCTGCCCTTGGGAAACAGCTCACAGCCTGGCAAAGTGCTCATTTCTGGGCTTTTGTCCCTGGGAAGCTGGGTCTGGGTCGTGGGAGCCACGTGGTAACTAATAAATACCTCTTTCTCCTCCCATCTGCTCTTCCTTTCCAGTCCTGGAACCCCTTTTCTGCTGATTCAGCCAAATGAGATCCAGGGTAACTGCACCCTCAGTCCTGGGCTTTGGTTTACTTGGGTGTGGGGCTCAAAGGGCTAGACCCTTGTCGGGTTCAGGCGCTGACAAGTGGGACATTCCCACGGTGCTGCCAGCCCTGCCCACAGGGATTGGGAGGGGCAGAGTTAGCCACACCAGGGCTTCAGGGCGTGTTTCTTCCCATTCCGGTTGGGCAACTTTAGAAGCCCTGGACTCCCAAGGAGCAATCGTGTGAACTGCTTAGAGAAGCTGCGAGAATGAGAGGGAAATTCATGTTGCGGGTTCATCCTGCAGCAGCAGCACCAGCATCCCTAATTTGGGTCTCTGGGCTGAGGGGCCCCTGGCAGCATGCTCAATGGCCTTGGATAGCTGGAATATTTGGAATTGCCTGCATCTTGGATGAAAGCCTTCCAATAGAATGAAAACTGCAGCCAGGCGCAGTGGCTCACTCCTGTAATCCCAGCGCTTTGGAAGGCCGAGGTGGGATCACCTGAGGTAAGGAGACAGAGGCCAGTCTGGCCAACATGGTGAAACCCTGTCTCTACTAAAAATACAAAACTTAGCTTGGCGTGTTGGCACATGCCTGTAATCCCAGCTACTTGGGAGGCTGAGGCAGGAGAATTGCTTGAACCTGGGAGGTGGAGGTTGCCATGGGCTGAGATTGCACCATTGCACTCCAGCCTGGGTGGCAAGAGCAAAACTCTGTAAAGGAAGGAAGGAAGAAGGGAGGGAGAGAGGGAAGGAAGGGAAAGAAACCTGCTGCAACAGGATGTCAGAACTTTTACAGACCACCACTGTAAATTCCCATTTGAAATTGGGAATTTGGAATTCCATGTTCAGCCAAATCATGCTGAGTGCCCAGCTGACACAGTAAATGCTACAGGCAAATTCCCTTTTTCCTCTTTCCTGGCAGGAAGCAGGGATATGGGAACCACTAGAAATACTGTAGTAACATGAATAAGATGGGGCCATTAGCTGGGAGTAAATCATAGTCCATTGAGCACAACAGCCCTGTGAAATGAGTGATATTAGTGTTACCATTTTTCAGATGGAGAAACTGAGACTCAGAAAGGTTAATTAGCCAAAAATCACACAGACAGTAATAACAGGGCTAGGAACAGAATGTTCATTCTAGTGCCTACCTGTGAGCTTCCCAAAACACCAAGCTAACTTTTCTAAAGCTAAGGAAAGAGGACACAGAAGCCTCATCTCAGATATCACCACCAGCTGCCCCTTAATCTGCCAACATCGATCCATTCTTTCCCCTCTTGACTACAATGGCTTCAAACTTTGACTGATCTCCAGTATTTTTGTTTACATAGCTAGAGCAAAAAAAGTTTTACAAAACAATATTACCTTTATATAGTGATGTACTTACTTATGCTGGTTGAAACTCATTAAGTTGATTTTGTGACCTATAACGGACTGTGACCCTCAGTTTAAAAAAAATACTGCTTCAAGATTAGTTTTTTTCTTCCCATTTAGGCAGCTTTCAAGAAGATATGCACAGAGAAACACAGAGGGAAGGCCATGTGAATATATTGGAGGAAGGCCATCTGCAAGCCACGGAGAGGCCCTCAGAAAAAATGCCATGCTGGCCGGACACTGTGGCTCACACCTGTAATCCCAGCACTTTGGAAGGTCGAGGCAGGCCAATCACCTGAGGTCAAGAGTTCAAGACCAGCCTGGCCAACATGGTGAAACTCCATCTCTACTAAAAATAAAAAAATTATCCAGGTGTGCTGGTGCCTGCCTGTAATCCCAGCTATTCCGGAGGCTGAGGCAAGAGAATCCCTTGAACCCAGGAGGCAGAGGCTGCAGTGAGCAGATGTCCCACCACTGCACTCCACCCTGGGTAATAGAGAGAAACTCCGTCCCCAAAAAAAAAAAAAAAAAAAGAAAATAAATTTCTGTTGTTTAAGCCAATTCCTTAAAATAAATCAGTCTCCCTCTCTCTCTCTCTCTCTGTGTACACATATACATATACACATCTAATTGTTTCTGCTTCTCTGGAGAACCCTGATTAATACAATCTAATGGTGAGTCTCCCCTACGCATACCCATCTAATCTTAGGCTGGGGCACATGTCTCACACCTATAATCCCAGCACTTTGGGAAACTGAGGTGGGCAGATTGCTTGAGGCCAGGATTCCACGCCAACCTGGGAAACATAGGAAGACCCCCAACCCCATCTCTATAAAAAAGAAAAAAAAAACCAAGTGCAGTGGTTCACGCCTGTAATCCAGCACTTTGGGAGGCCAAGGTGGGTGGATCACAAGGTCAGGAAATCGAGACCATCCTGGCCAACATGGTGAAACCTCGTCTCTACTAAAAATACAAAAATTAGCCAGGCGTGGTGGCGGGTGCCTATAATCCCATCTACCTGGGAGGCTGAGAATTGCTTAAACCTGGGAGGTGGAGGCTGCCGCGAACTGAGATCACACCACTGCACTCCAGCCTGGGCAACAGAGTGAGACTCTATCTCAAAAATAAAAATAAAAAAAATAGGTGTGGTGGCACACACCTGTGGTTCTAGGTACTTGGGAGGCTGAGGTGCGAGGATCACTTGAGCTCAAGAGTTCAAGGCTGCAATGAGCTATGATTTTGCCACTGCATTCCAACCTGGGCGGCAAAGCAAGATCCCATCCCTAAAAAATAAAAATAATCTTAACTTCAGCCACTCCCCCTGCATTCCCCATGAACACTGGAATTCCCCCAAAACATTGTCTACATCATATACAAAATCAATAATTATGTCTTCTCTCTTCCATGTTTTCTCACCATTTCTTTCTTTCACTGGTCTGCATTATTATTTTATTTATTTTTTTAGAGACAGAGTCTCCCTCTGTCATCCAGGCTGGAGTGCATTGGCTCGATCTCACTGCAACCTCTGCCTCCCAGGTTCAAGCGATCTTCCTGCATCAGTATCCCGAGTAGCTGGGACTACAGGCACATACCGCCATGCCTAGTTAATTTTTGTATTTTTAGTAGAGATGGGATTTTGCCATGTTGGCCAGGCTGGTCTCAAACTCCTGACCTCAGGTGATCGGCCTGACTCAGCCTCCCAAAGTGCTGGGATTACAGGCGTGAGCCACCGCGCCCGGCCACACTTTCCTTCTATCTCCACCCACAGCCCTTCAACCCCAGGGATCACTTTGTGCCTTATCTTTATAGTACCTTATGCTAAACAGGTGCCACAGGTAAGACCAACAGCTAACATGGTCTTCACATCTCTCAAGACCTGAGTGAGAGCAGGAGTTAAAACCTCAAATGGCTGTGTAGAAGCCAGACAGGTACACGGGGAAGGTGAGCAAAGTGGAGTCTGTGGTGAGGTGAGGACACAAGTCCAGCTATTGTGGACCGTCACTACTCACACCAGGGTTGCAGCAAGTTTCTATTTTTCTTTTTTTTTTTTTTTTTTGAGACGGAGTTTCGCTCTTGTTACCCAGGCTGGAGTGCAATGGCACGATCTCGGCTCACCGCAACCTCCGCCTCCTGGGTTCAGGCAATTCTCCTGCCTCAGCCTCCTCAGTAGCTGGGATTACAGGCACGCGCCACCATGCCCAGCTAATGTTTTGTATTTTTAGTAGAGACAGGGTTTCACCATGTTGACCAGGATGGTCTCGATCTCTTGACCTCGTGATCCACCCGCCTCGGCCTCCCAAAGTGCTGGGATTACAGGCTTGAGCCACCGCGCCCGGCCAGCAAGTTTCTATTTTTCAAGAGAAGCCAGTTATTTAGGCTTTTAGATAAGCTCTCCCAGCTTTTTTTTTTTTTTTTTTTGAGAAAGGGTCTCCCTCTGTCGCCCAGGCTGCAGTGCAGTGGCACGACCATGTCTCACTGTAACCTCCACCTCCCAGGCTCAAACAATTCTCCTGCCTTGGCCTTCCAAGCAGCTGGGATTACAGGCATGTGCTACCATGCCTGTCTAATTTTTGCATTTTTAGTAGAGATGGGGTTTTGCCATGTTGGCCAGGCTGGTCTTGAACTCCTGGCCTCAAGTGATCTGCCCACCTCGGCCTCCCAAAGTGCTGGGATTACAGGCGTGAGCCACCACACCTGTCCAGCTCTCCCAATTTTTAAATGTTCAATCTTTCATCAGGTTTTTTTTTTTTTGAGACGGAGTCTCGCTCTGTCGCCATACTAGAGTGATTCTCCTGCCTCAGCCTCCTGAGTAACTGGGACTACAGGCGTGTGCCATCACACCTGGCTGATCTTCATATTATTAGTAGAGATAGGGTTTCACCATGTTGGCCAGGATGATCTCGATCTCTTCACCTCATGATCCACCCGCCTGGGCCTCCCAAAGTGCTGGGATTACAGGCATGAGCCACTGTATCCAGCCCTTTCCTCAGATTTTTAAGAAACTGTGTGGG